CACTAGGTAAATAGCTAGCTGCCATGTATTAGGCAGGTTCTAGGGTATCTAGGATAACAGTAGGCAAGTCACGGCATAACACTTTTGTAGCCTTGAAAACATTCCTACCAACGTTAATAATCAAAATACCTCCATGATACAGATAAAACTAATGAGCCAGACAAGCGTGTTTGTCCAGGTTTTTAGAGAGAACCAGTGTCAAGTTCTCATCTCTTAGGGATGTGCTCAGAGCCTCCTGCCAACTCTTTTCTTTCTCTAGCAGAAATTTATTAACAAAATATGATTATAACCAAGTCTCTGATCTTGAACTGCTTTATAATAAAAGCCAGGATTTTTACACCTATCCAAAATTACCCCCAATAATGCTCTTTTGCCAATTTTCAAGGGCGTGAGGAGTGAAATATAGTGAAATATGCTGTGATAACATTTTCTCTGTTCATGTGTTTTTCAGTGTCCAAGGATGTAGGTGCACGTCTGTCAGGAATGTTGTGTAATAATTTGACTTAGTTTTAAGCATCTCTATAGTAGAGATTGCCAAGCAGCCAGAACTTTAAATTGGCCAAGTAGCTCATTCCCCTTATTATTTCTTTTTCCCATAAGTCTCAGTTAAAGGTATGTTAGAAATTAGAAGAATTTCCCAAGAATCATCCAGTTTAGCTACTGTCCTGGTTATCACCTGAAGGTTTTTTTTCTGGTCTGCTATGTCAGCAGAGAAAAGATGTCTTCTCCCAGTTCTTTTTTCAGCTGTGCATATTCACGGGACAGACCTGAGTTTAGGAATATTTATACAGTAGTATTTGCCTACAGGAATAGCCAGAGCAGCTGAAAATGTCAGAAACTGCAATCAGTTGTGTGAAGAGGCAAAACGTATACATTTGATTCTTATCTGTCAGTTCCCATGCAATGTTGCTTGTAATGTTGGTTGTCTTTAGAAATACATGTAATATTTGTAATTGCTGTGTTATCAGTTCCTAGGCATGTATTTAATTCTCCTCTGCTTCACACTACTCGTACTTAATTATTAGGGCTGTGATTACAGACACATTAATATAGTGGAAATTCAGAAGTTAAGGTGGATATGAAACTCACAGTGCTGTGGGTGGCTGAACAGCTGCAATGTTGCTCACTTTTTAAGACAGTTGAGCTAAAACAATTTAAAATTAATTTATAATTTAAAACTCAGAAGAGTTTGTGTGGCATTTGGATGGCCAGGTGCATCCACTTTTCCACATTGAGTTTTGAGGCCTGAATTTTTACTTAACTTGCACAAAACAGGAGGTTTTATTTTGCCTCCCACAAGTGAAATATTTCAGAAATATACAAGCAAGATATAAGACTCTGCTACATGATTTTTGCTTCTGCTATACTTGCTATGCTGTTGTAGTGTGCTCTCTAACCTCTGCAGTTGCAGATCAGTGTCCTGATTTGAAGGTGCTTCTCTAACAGTAATTCCCCCCTCCGTCCCCTTCTGTCCCCCTTGCTTTGGCTATCAAGGTGTAATTTTAATTTGCATTAGAAAATCAAATGTTTTCTGTGTGTTTAAACGTATTAAGAAGTAGGATCTTTTGGAAAATTCTCTGTAAAAAGACTCTTTGGTCGTGGACAATCTCTACTATTGGAGATAATATGGAGATAATATTAATCCTTATTTAATAAGGCCTATGTTCCTTTTCACTTCTGCTGTGGTCAAGCTAACATTCTCTGGACAAAACAGTGTCTGGTGGCACTGTAAATTCTTTGGAGATGGTAATGTCAGAAAAAAGAAGGTGTGTGTAATACTTAGTACCATGGGACTTGATACCATTTAAATACTTCTAACAAAATGTCCACCCAAATAGTTAATGAAACAAAAGAGATCCGAAAGCCTTTCTATTTGAACGGGCTCCATAGAAATACCACATATTTAACATAGCATAGATCAGTTTTGAATACAACCCTTTTACTATTTTGAAGATCCTCCCTTTCTGCTTGAAGTTGATGCTTTTCATGTTGTCCTGATTTTGACCTGTTTTCTAATCCAGAAATAATCAATGTAGCCCTGAGACCACTGTTCCTGGGGTAATCCTTGATGAAGAGAATGAGAAAACCATCACAGACTATGGACTGCTTTTGTTCCCAGGTAGCTTTTTAAAATAGCTGTCTGGGAACTCTCTCACATTTGATGTACTCTGCAGTAGTTCCAGTGAGGTAGTTGACAGTCTCACCTTTCCTTCATGCTGTTTGCTATTCTACCTAGTTAATCTTTAAAAGATTATTTGTTGGAATATATATCTAGCAAAGTAGCATGGTAGAAGAGGAGGTATAAGCTGTACATTAGATTTCTGTACCCGATGGTCGTTTTTAAGAAAACATTTGCTTGATTGATTATATATTTTTTTTTTTTCACTCTTCAGGAAGTAAAACAACATTTTTAGGCATAAAATTTCCAACATAAAGACATGGACCTGTTGGAGTGAGTCCAGAGGAAGCCACAAAGGTGCTCAGACAGCTGGAGCAGCTCTGCTCTGGAGACAGGCTAAGAGAGCTGGGCTCGTTCAGCCTGGAGAAGAGAAGGCTCCGGGAAAACCTTAGAGCAGCTTCCAGTGTCTAAAGGGGCCAACAAGAAATGTGGAGAGGGGCTTTTGACCAAGGGCCTGTAGGGACAGGACAAGGGGGAATGGCTTTAACCTGACAGAGGGGAGACTTGAGATGAGATCAGGCAGAAGTTCTTCCCTGTGAAGGTGTTGAGGCACTGGCACAGGTTGCCCAGAGAAGCTGTGGCTGCCCCATCCCTGGCAGTGTTCAAGGCCAGGTTCTGTAATTCTTTGATAATGTAAAATATCAAATACTGGTTTAGGTATCCCATTATTTTTATTTAGTATAGGTGCTAAAATCCAGTAGATTTATACATTTTGAAAATGAATGCTTTTTGCAGTGCCTTCTAAGGATTGCTGATGCAGTGTTCCCTTAACGGAAAAGAATCTTGAAAAAATTAAGAACTGTTGCTGTGCTTACCTAAGGGGTCAATGGAGGAATGCAGCTGTCTAAGTTGTCTGGTCGCCTGGGACTGTCACCTTCTCAGCTTGGACAACAGTTTTGCTGTGTCCCGAGAAGCAAGCAGAAGTTTCAAGCACATGAAACACTCTTCCTGAAAACTGGTTTTTTTTTTTTTTTTTATTTTGCAACATCTGAAGACAGAAAATCTGCATAAGTTTGGTGGTAGACATCTCCTTTGCTTTGCTGTCAAGAATGGGCTCTCCCTCCTCCCTTTTCTCCACATGGTTTTTGAGCTCTGAGTTAATGTTTCTTTCCTTCTTCCCAAGCCTTTCCTCAAAGTTTGTTAGTGCAGATGATGCTGTAGTTATCAAACCTCGTCAGCTAACACTGACTAGGAGAAGCATTCTTGATGAATGATGTTGTCCTTCCCTGAGTCCGCAACAAGTGTTTGTGAGCTTTGCAGCAAGCTGGTCTGGTTGTTAACTTTGGCTGATGGCTTTATTTCTGTTGAGTTCATTTTTGTTTGGATCAACTCTTTAATGTGGTTTGCAACACACAACCATGCTGTGCTTGCATGTGAGAAGACGTGATACAGAAGTGAGAACAAGTAGCCCATGGCAAGGAGAAGTGCAGCACCCCTTCGTTCAGGAGCTGCTGTGACTTGAGGTAGTTCAAAGTGCACATTAAATTGTGTCCTTGGGGCTGTGTAGCAAACTTGTTTGGGGGATATTGTAACGCTGCTTTTCTAGATCCTTTCCTTGCAGCCCAAGCACTATTTCTTTTCAGAGCTTCCGAGATAAGTATTTGGAAACTAAGCTCTGATTTCCAAATACGTAAGCGAATGGCACAGTACAGTTCCCAAAAGGAATGTGAATTTGGTTTTGATGTGCAATAGGTTCGAATTCTAAGTCTCCAGACCTCCATATGCATGTCTAGATGTGAATTATTCCTAGAAGAAAATTCTTGTGAGGATTTGAATTTCTGTTATTATTGGTGGACTCAAAAGGTTTGTCCCACATTGGCCATTTTTATTCTATTTGAGCTGTAGGTGGTAACTGGAAGTTACCATCTCCTGCTGGTGTTTGCTGATCTGGATGAAATGCTACAAGTGACTTTTATTCTCGTTTCTTGTTTTGATGTGTGGCTAAATGGTAAAAACTCCTTGTCAGTTTTCAATCTGCACAGCATCAATTTAATCACAGGGTAGGAAAGACACATACTCGTACTGCTCTTTCTGTGCTGAAGCATGCAGGGGTGAATCTGAAAAAAATGCATTATGCAACTAAATATTTTACTGTGTGTCCTGTTTTGTACCAATAAAAGAAGTTGCAAGAAAGATGACACTGAAGATGTCATTTGTCTTTCAAATATGCTTGTTGTTGTTTGGCACCCTTTCCACTAGCAGTGAAACTTTGCAGTGGGGAGGAATAGAGGTGAGAAAAGAACAGCAATCCTACTGCCTTAGAATTAGCTTTGCATTAACTTTGGCCAGATGAGAAATACTTGCTGTGGTTGTAACTTGCTTTCTTGCTGGGATGTGTGGGGTAAATCATTAATGCAATTTGTTTACAAAATACTCAAGTGTTCGGTTAGCCTATGTCATTTATTCTGTGGGGCTCATGTGCGAAAAGTACATCTAATGCACTGATACAGCTCGTGGGAAGTTTGGCTGGGCTGAGGAATGCTATATAGCATGATGAAATATTTGGTACTACACCTACCAAATTTATTGGTTTTTTTATGATTCTAGTTAGAGATTGCTGTGTTCCATATTAGTTTAGGAGGCTGGGGAAAAGATGCTGTATTTATGAAATAAGAATGCGAGCCCAAGTAGCTGGTTGAGAAGAACTGATTAGGAATAACTCCCTTCTCAAACAAGTGTACATTTTGATGAAAGTTTCATGTCCTTGTTTCAAGGAAATCTCTTCTTATAGTGACAATGGCTGTTCACAGCCTGCTGTGGTGTATTGAAGCATTCACCACAGTAAGAAAGGAAATGATACCCAGAATGGTTTTCTCCCCAGGTGCTGAAGAAGTCTTGCTGCTTGCTAGAAGGACTGACTTGAGGCGGATTTCCCTGGACATGCCAGATTTCACTGACATCATTCTGCAGATAGACAATATCAGACACGCAATTGCGATAGACTATGATCCTGTGGAGGGCTACATCTACTGGACTGATGATGATGTCCGGGCAATTCGTCGGGCCTACCTTGATGGATCTGGAGCACAGACTCTGGTAACCACAGAAATCAATCATCCGGATGGTATTGCTGTGGATTGGGTGGCGAGGAACCTGTACTGGACTGATACTGGAACAGACCGCATTGAAGTGACCCGGTTGAATGGGACATCAAGAAAGATCCTTATCTCAGAAAACCTAGATGAACCTCGAGCAATAGTGCTCAATCCTGTAATGGGGTAAGTTTTGTGTTTATTGGTAGCCCTGTGGTTGGTGCATTTTGGGGGATGATGTGTGTATAATTTGTCAGATGTTCTGGAAATAACTAGATTTCCCTTGCTTTATCCCTCTAATACTGTGTATATAAAAAGTGATTTCTAAATAATAGTGTTCGTCAGTGAACCTATACATTGTGTGGTTGGTTATATTTTCCTTTCTCTGTGTCTTCAATGTTATCATAACTTTGAAAGAATTGGTCCACTGCACATTTTCAATAGTTTAATCTATTTAATGTTCAAACTTTAGATTGTCATCAGTGATTGTAGTTCAAGTCAACTTGTTTCCTGCAGTTGGCAAAAATTAGTAAGTTTTTTCAAAAGCAGGACAGATCTTGACACTTGTTTGACTTGCATATTACATGCATAGGCTGTTTCCCCTCTTTTATTTTTACAGCTACATGTATTGGACGGACTGGGGTGAAAGTCCAAAGATAGAATGTGCTTATTTGGATGGCTCAGAAAGGCGAGTTCTGGTGAACACATCCCTGGGTTGGCCTAATGGCTTGGCACTGGATCTGGAAAAAGACAAGCTTTACTGGGGAGATGCAAAAACAGATAAAATTGAGGTAAGTAATAGGGCCATACTTGGGTGCATTCTTAGAAAACAAGGCAGTTCTCATGTGTTGCCTTATGTCTTGGATACATTTATGAATTTTTTGAGGAGTGTGTTGTTTCATTAATATTAACATGGTATTTAGCATAACAAGACATATTTGAGAAGAAAGGAAACACATTCATGTGGTTCAGATAACTTTTGCTAGAAATATTGTTTGTTATGTCTACATTGCTACAAGTGTATTTTAATTGCTCAGGTTTTAAGCATCTCTATAGTAGAGGTTTTACCTGAGGCTTTTGCAACAAATTGGGACATTCAGGTACAACCTCTTCAAAAGATGTTTTGACTTGTCTGTGGTGCTTGGAACTAGTATCTAAAATTGCTGCTGTGAAAGACTTGATGCAGTGTTCATGTACAGGAGAAGGTGGGTGTGTGAGCTCTAGAGAGCCACATTTCAGGACATAATGATTGTATGGTGTCCAGATAAATGGACAAGAAGTAATTTTTAATGTGCCATCTGCTCTGAAAACAATGTAGACATTCTACCTCTGAATTTGAGGAGAGGAAATCCTCTTCACAGTGTTTATAAACACTTATGATAGTATTATTTCTGAATTGTTGAAAGAGTGTCTGATAGAACAGTGTGATGCCCTTATGCCCCCCTTTCTTTCAGAAGAATTTTCTTAAAAATGAAAAAAATTCGTTCTGTCTACCTATTGCTCAGACACTAGACAAATTAGGGCAAATTATCTGCTCATTTTTTATGACGTACTCCCAGGAGTTAGTGAAGTGTCTCTGGAAATTCACTGCTTTAAATGTAAAATACAGTCAAAGCAGGTACCTGTACTGGTCTAGTTATGGATATTGACACTCGCACCACGGAAGCCCAGGATGTTTCAAGAGACTTTCTCCTAAAGGAGATGCCATTTTCCTGGTCGTTTTTGCATTACTATCCATGCTTGAATCTTAATCTAAAAGAGTAATTGTGCTGCCACAGAAGTGAAACGAGTCTTAGATATTGCTGCAGAAAACTGAGTCCCAAAGTAGTTTCATGTAGAGCAGACGGTGATAAATAACTGAAAGGGTTAAAATGGAGGTTTTTAGGGCAAGGGTTTTTGGGGCTTGTAAATTTGTGTTTATTAGATTATGAGGTTACAGTGAATTATTAACAACCGTATTCAACTGAGGAAATTCAGCATATTGGTAGAGCTTGATAATATTGTGATGTAGGAGGGCACATGCGTTTTGTGTAATCTAAGACTACTGTGGAACAGCCATTTTATACGTTTGTTGTGAATGTATTCATGGTGTTGTTGAAGACCTGTATATAGTAGTGGGCTTACTTGCATGAGTGTGTCCATTTAATTTGAGACAGATGAGGCTATGGATAGAGAATATGAATACAGCCAGATGTTTTGAAGAAGTCTCAAACAGTTACTTAGGACCTTGCTGTGTTCCCCACCACTCTCAATGATTAGTTTCTAATTAAAATAGTTGTTTTAAAAGTGCATCTGGTTCCTGGCCATTTGTGCTTATATTTCTAAGAAGGAAAAACTGGGTTTTGAACCTCAATCTGAAGTTGTTATAGTAAGTTATAGGGAAGCTGCAAGATGAAAAAAAAGTGCACTAAGAAAATATTTAAAATAGAGGCAAATTGATCTGATGGATTGTATTTCACTTTTATTGCCCATCTTGCTATATTTGTAACCTGACAGTGCTTTCCTGCAAGACTTCTGTGTTTGAGAGGTTTTGTTGATACCCTAGATTGTCCCAGTAACCTACTCTGCTGCCCAGTACACATGAAACCTTACTGTATGGTGTATGAAGGCTTTTACTCACTGTTGAAGTTGTTGAGCATAAACTCATTCTCTCACGCATCTGTTCTGTTGCCAAGAGCATGCCATTACAGTGGCTTGCCAGCGCAGCTGGTGTCTCTGATTTGTTCTCTAAGTGTATGTATGCCTGTTGCATCCGCAGTTCATTGGAAACCAAAACCAGCTGACTGCAAATTGAAGATACACATTTATTTGCTTTTTATACTCTAGTGGATCTAGCTTTAAATTAGGATTTTTCTTTTTTCCTGGTAAGCATCTAAAACTGACTTGAAGCATATTACTGGATATACTTAATCTGTGTTAATGCCTTTGTAAAATTAGCATAAATGATGTAGTAGATAGTAAGCTGTAACACTATTTTGTAACTCATTAGGAAAAAGAAATGTTGATCAAGTTTCTGGTGGTTTATTCTGTTGCTACACTGCATGGGGAGGGCTCTTTAGTCGTCTAAAATGATACTCAGATTTATATTGAGCAGTCCTGAAGGAGGAAGACTTCAACCAAGTGCTTGAAGTGCCCCCTTCTGAACCCCACATGGTTCAGAATGTGGTATTCCACAGCTGCACTCTACTGCACAAGGCAAAGAAGCAACATGTGGATTCCTGCATGTTGCCTTGTACATGCTGAAGATGGGAGGCCAAAAAGCTGTTAGATGATAATAGAGAGGGACAGTGGATGGGCTAGTATATTGCTCTGCATTGGTGTAGTTAAGGTGCATTATCTACTTGCATCGACTTATTTTCAGAGTAATTAGTTTTTCTTGGACTTTTGCAGTGGTGTCACTTGACAGTTTTCTCATCTAAAAACTCCAGTCCCAGATTTCCTGAAGCAAGTAGAAATTTTTACTGTGAAAATTTTACTGTGAGGTTGGTGAAGCCCTGGCACAGGTTGCCCAGAGAAGCTGTGGCTGCCCCATCCCTGGCAGTGTTCAAGGCCAGGTTGGACAGGGCTTGGAGCAACCTGGTCTAGTGGAAGGTGTCCCTGCCTGTGGCAGGGGGGTTGGAACTGAATGAGCTTTTAGGTCCCTTCCAACCCAAACCAGTCTGGGATTTTTATGAGTCTATTTTCCAGAGACCAAATTGCTGCAGAAGGTGTAAGCTAAAGGAGAAAATTCCCATTTCCACTGTTTTCTGCTATCCGTCTACTTTCACTTGCCTCAGGATGTCCCAGCTCACTGTGTAGAAATTGCAAAATAGAATAAACTGAAACTGTTGTGCAGAGCATGGTCGTACTTGAAGCCTGTCGGGGAAGAATTTGTATTGAGACTGATGGCTGATAATGTGAACAGTGAACTATGTATCCTTTTACTGTAGCTTTCTGACAAACTTCTTGTAGCTGAGAATTACCTTCATCACAATGCATTACTTCAGCTGCTTTCCATATAGAAAAAACAAGAGTGAGCATAGCTTGTGCGTGTTTGTTTGTGTATCTCTGCTGTGATTTCTAGTATTTTAGATCTGCAGGTAGTCTTACTCTCTCAGGGAAGGCTTGTTCATATATGAAGTTCTCAAACAGTGTCTGTTGTACAGCTTGGAAATTTGATAAGCTGGAGACGTGTCCTGTTTTTGCTGTACCTCAGGTTTGAAATGTACTGTAAATGCCTCTGGTTTAGGGTTTTTTTGTTTGTTTTGGGGATAGGTTTGTTTCATTTCAGTAACACATTTTGACATTACTTTTGGGTGTGCTCCTTTCACAAAGGAACACTGCAGAGCTGTTGAGGGTGCCAAGCACTATCCTGTACCAGGAGACTATGTTTTATTTGTGAGGGTGAAACTTCGTAGGGTGAAGACAGCAGTTTTGCTTCCCTGGCAAAAACCCCTTTCCTAACCTTTCCATCCGCAGCATTCAGCTGCAACACAAAGGGCCCAGTCACTTTGCAAGCAGTTTGCATCCTGAAGAAACCATTTGGCAAGGCTTGTCAAAATTTTGCATGATAGGAGCCTATGGGGCTTTCACTGCAAATTTGGCACCCTGTGGTAACATTGTTCCCAGGTTTGGTTTTTATTATTATTTTAATTTGTTTGGCAAAATGTACATCAAGGAGAAACACATGAAAAATTTTGAGTCATGTCTGTCAAAATCATGTAGTCTGCCCATACAGCTTCAGCCACAGCTAAGGGGCATGGATTAATCCAATTGAAACTCTGGATTTTACTGACAGAGAAAAGGTACTTTCCAGGAACAAACAGAGGATTAATAAGGATTACAGGGTTCCAGCAGAGAGAGAAGCAAAGACCCAATGGCACCCACGTGTAGAGTTCCCTAATTCTCCTTAAAAACAATTTTGTGGTTAGCCAGGTTTTCCATGTATTATTTCTTCAGCATTTGCTTAAAATGCCTAAGGTGTAATTACATAATGAGCAATTACTGAATTCTCAGGTGCCTGTTATTATGTATGCATTTTACTTTGTGCAGTTTTCTTGGAATCAATGTTACACAGACTATCCCTTCTGATAGCTTCCCCATGTCCTCCCCCCTTTCCCCTTTATTGACAAATGTCCTTCATTTGAGGGACAGAAGACCCGTAATTATGTACAATAATTCTTTACAAGTTTGTAGGGTATTTAAAGTATAAGTCAGCACCAGATTACAACCCTTGATGTCACTGAAAAAAAATTCCAAGATGTAGTTATGTGGGATGTCCTTGTAATTTAAGGCAACAGCCTTTAGAATTAGTTTGTCATTGATTGCATTCTGCAAAAATAATGTAAAAGGATATTTGGAACAATGTGCTACTTAAATAGGCTTTGCAGAAGTCAGTTGTAGTGGGAAGAAAAATTAACTAAAGTAATTTAAGGCTGCTTTTTCTGAACAAGCCTGAGTATACTTTACATATTACACTTTGTTTTCCAGTCAATTGACCTAAAAAATGTAGTATTTAATTTATACATGAGACATTTTCTCATAACTAATACATTTTTGTGTGCGTGTTTCAGTGGATTGACATTTTTCACCAAAGGATTAAAAAGACAGTGTAGTGTGTTAAACTACTTGGGAGGTACTCTGCACTGATTTATTGAAACAGGCGAATCTCATAGAGAGAATAACTAATTTAAAATTACCGCTACATGCTGATTAGATACAAAAAAATCAAAGCATCATTTTCTATAAATACAAGTGTATTTCAGAAGACCTAGTTTATATTTATATTAATGCAAATAATCCCCACACTGCA